GGATCAGCATCAGCTCCTGGCCCACGGATGTCCCCAGATGCTGGATTCATTAATCACCACTTCCAGAGGCTCAGGCTCCAATCCAGCTGGGCACAGCACTGTTTTCCTCCTTACTCGATGAGGACAAGGAAACACCAGAGCCAGCACAAAATTCCCTGGGAAACCATCCCAACTCCTGTGCAGGCTTGGGAGTTGGAGTCTTTATGACTCCTTCCTGATGCCTTAGGGAGCTGGAGCAGAGGCTGGATGGAGTTCAGAGGAATAAAGTGGATTTTTATTGAGGTGCTTTCAGAGACCATCCAGGCACCACCAGAGCCACAGTCCTGGCTCTGTCCAGATGGCTCCAAGATGGGAGCAAGAGAGTTCTTGGTCACAAGATCTCCCATTGTTATAGATTTTAGTCCATTTGCATACAGGAGTTTACTGCCCAATTAACAGCTTCAGATGATGAAGTTTCCTCTTCCTTGCTTGCTTGCCCGCCTTCCTCTTCTCATGTTGTTTATGCTTTGGGCCGGAAGTTTGAAGGGATTGTCCTCGAGTCTCCAGCTGGAATGGGATTGTTTTGTCTCCACCACCTTGTGAGAAGATCCCAGTAACACTGAATATAAAGCTAAAAGCTGCACACCAAAACAGAACAGGAAAACTCCAAACCCAAGATACCATTCCAACCCAGGATATTCCATAATGGATCCAAAGGTGCTTTATTACCAGGATCTGAAGCACAGTGGTGAAGGACATGGAGAGGACCAAGGTGGATTTCTCCTCCCCATGGGCCCCAGCCCGAGGTCTCCAGGAGGAAAGAGAATTCCCAGCACAAATTCCTGCTGGTGGCCATGGGACCTTGTCTTGGTTTGGAAAGACAGGAGTCTGCTAAGTAGGCAGGAGCCTCCCCTGAAACAGAGAATGTAAACCCTCCCCACCCCTCTGAATTGCTATAAATTTGAAATTAAGGGGCTCTCAGGCTAAAATATGGGAGCAGGAAATAACAGTTCTTTACTAGGGAAGAAAATAAAAGGATAAAATAAACAATGCAGTACTCTAGAACAACACTGACAGAGTCAGAGCCCAACCTGACACCCTGTGGGTCAGGGTGTTGGCAGCAGTCCCACTGGAATTGTGGCTCAGCCCTCCTGCAGTGTCAGGGGTGGTTCTGCTGGAGCAGGGATCCTGTAGAGAAGGATGTATTCTCCCTCTGAAGATCCAGTGCAAGGAGAGGCAGCTGCTGTTCCTCTGGGGAATCCAGTGGAGAAAGCCGTGCTGGTGTCTCAGAACCTCTGGATTGTATCTGGGTAGCAATGCTTGGCTCCTCCCTCTGGGCTCACATCTCCCAATGGGATGCTGTAGTTCTTATCAGCCATGCAGTGACATTCAATAGTCTGTTATCAGCAGATGTCCCCTCCCAAGGGAGGAGTGATTGTGGTCACTCAAAGAGAGAGATAAGGCAAACTGCCCACTTGACAAAGGTTATCTGCCATACACATGGTAATTGAAAACATCTTGCATTGCAGTCTGGAACAGACCTGCAGGGGTGGCCACACCCATCACCCGAGATCCTGCTGAGGGAAATTCCCCTCTCAAAGCTCATTTGGACTGGTGAACCACAGATACCCCACGCTCCCAGTGAGGGTTTAGGATCAAAGAGGGTTTGGGGAGCCTGGGGTGTGGATCCATGATCCCAAAGTGAGAGGGAGCGTGGGGAGCATCACCCCACCACGATGTCAGCCAGGCCCTTCTTTCCCATAAAACCCCAACTTCAATCGTGGGGAAAACAGAGAAATTGCTGGATTTTCTACATTTTTTTGTTTTCCCACTTTCTGCCTCAAATCTAAAGAGGAAAGGCAATGAATAATCACATGGACACCGAGGGTTAGGAATTATTCTTCTTTTAATTTCACATGGTTTAAAATACGATATGAAATAAGGCTACAATATATAAAAAACTCTCCAGCAAAATGATGTGCCAGCATCAGCAATTAAAACAAAACCAATCCCCTCCTTCTCTAGGAATTCAATGGAGGAGGGATTTTATTTTTTTTGAATCCTTTAAAAAAAACCAAACAGGACCAGACACAACACACGGACACACACACACATCGCTACATCTCTAAGCTACCTCAGCTCAGGTTTTTTAAAAAAGCACCTGCTTTTTCCTTGTTTTTTGTTTTTTTTTTTTTAAATCTCACTTTTAAACTTTTTTTTCCCACTTTTAAAAAATATAAATTATATGAAAATACACGTTGGAAAATAGTCGAACAGCACAATATAACAATCTCTTTTTTTTTTTAACTTCTTTTAAGTTTATCAGCTTAAAAAAATGTGTAAAACCAAAAGAAAACAAAAAAAAATTTCCTTATTTTTGGATTTTTTTGTTTTTTTTTTTTTTTTACTGAGGCAGTTAATTCCTGGAGATATTCCATTATAACATATATGTATACATAGATTTATCCTTTATTTAAACCTCTTTGGAATGTAGACAACAGCTCCTGGGTGTTACACAGACCCTACCAGGGAGCAGAGTACACCAAGGCATCCCAGCTTTCACAAGGAACCAGCAATTGAATCCTAAAACCTCGGAGAAAACCCCTCCAAAAACCCAAAACTCAGAAAGTGGAGATGTTTCCTGCAGCATCTGGATGTACTGCTGCTTTCTGGGACCATTTTTTGGAGGAGGTGTTGCTTTGGGAAGACAGGAGAAAGTGAAATTTTACATTACTCTTTATTTGTTGCCCTGTTCTGTTATTTCTTCCCTGAAGGATCCCATCTGGATGGGGATGGTGGGAGTGTGGGAATGGCATGGATCTCCACTTGGACACAGCCCAGAGTCCAAGGGTTACCACATGGAGATGGAGAGGGACTGGCAGCAGGAAAGTGCTTGTGGCTTTTGTCATTATTGGGGTGGGATTATCATTATTGGGGTTTTTCCCTTTCTTTTGAGTTCCCAAATATCAACTGTCAAGGCCCCCAAAGCTGTTTGCAAGGCTCAGGTGAACACCAACCCACGTGGAAACAGCAGAGAATGAGCAGGACACAGAAAATATCCCAAAATCTCACCCAAAGCACCTGAGACATTCCAAACCAAGACAAAATGACCCCGTTTCCAATAGTGTCTGCAAGGGGGAAATTCACTCCTGTGGGGAGGAAACAGCACAGGGGGAGACCCAGCCCTGGCAGATCTCCATCATCCCTCTCAGATCCATCCTTCTGGGCCAGCAGATGGGAATTAACCAAATTTTCACGGGCTTGAAGGAGTTCAGAGGGTTTGGGTTGAGCTATTCCTGCTCAGCACAGCCCTCACCAAAGGCCAGCAGTGAAAAGCAGAAGGAAAAAGGAACCAAAGCAAAAGAAACAAAAGAGAAATCTGCACATTTCCAGTGTATAAACAGCACCCATCTCTGGGATGGCCTCTAGAACAGGAATAAAGCAAAGGAAAATAGGAAATGATGGAGCTGATGTGTCTGGGACTGTTCACAGGCTGTGAGCTGGGAGGGCAAAGGGCTGGAGAAATGATGGGGAAACTCCAGACAGAGGTTTCTTCCAAAAATCCAGAGCTGCTTCCCCTGGCTCACCCTTCCCTACCTTTAACCACCTCCCCAAAATCACTGGGAACACCCAGGCCCAGCTTGGAAACCTCTGAATAAGCACAGTGGGGGAGGGATTTAGCCTGGCAGGGGTGTGGGGCTGTAGCCAAACCTGCAATTCCTCCTCTTGGAGGGAAATTTTATCCCATTCCTTTTTTTTTTCAGCTGGAGCATCCAAGCAAAGCAGGAGGGATGTCCTGGGGCATGGCCCAGGCCAGGGGCAGGAGCTGGGATGTCTGGGAGTCCCTTTCTAAGGCTGCAAGGGGCATTGAAGTGGCCCATGATGGATCAGCTCAGGGCACTTTGCAGCAGCCCTGAACATCCCAAACCCCTCTGATTGCTGCTGGGATGCTCTTTGCCAGCTCCTCCCTGTGCCCTCTGTGCCCTCACAGCTCTCCTGCTCCCTGTCCAGCTGCCCAGCTGTGGCTCAGGCTGGACCTGTCATAGATCCTCACCTCTGGGGTCGCATCCGTGATATTCCACTGTTCCTTTCCTCCCTCCAGCTTGGCCAGGCTGCCTCCATCCTCCTCCTCCCTGCCTGCCCAAGGAGGTGAGCCTGAGTTCCATTCTCAGTGGGCAGAGTCCCTTTCCTCCTTCGGGGCTCCCTTCACCTTCCTCCATCCCCTCTTCCCTCCTTTCCTTCCATCCCACCTTTCCTTCAGACAACCCACAGCACCTGAGTGTGACACCCTCCCTTCCTGGGCCCCCTCTGCTTCCATCCCCTGGCAGGAACTCCCTCCTGGCCTCCCCATTTCCCTCCAACTCCACCTTTTGTGAGGACACAGCAGTTCTGGGGCTGATTTTCCCTAAAATGCCCATTTTTAGGATACAGAGGTGCTGGGTCCCCCCTGCCCCAGAGGCCAAGGAGAGCCCAGCACGTCTGGGCATCACTTTGGGGTTGGGCTCCCCTCCAGCTCTGCCTCTGTGAGGGGGGGTTGTGCCTGAATATTCTGGGTATTTTACACAGATTCCTGTCCTGCCACCCTATCCTTTGGGATCGGGCAGGAATCCCTCCTCAGCTTCTCTGGAAAAGCTCTGACCCCGACTCCCAGAGCTGTCCCAGTGCCTCTGGAATGAGCTCTGTGGCCCAAGACACTCAGAGAGGGATTTTGGTAAAGTACAAAATGCTGCCTTTAAATGCAAATGCCCAGGGAGGGTGAAAGATTCCCTTGGGAGGCCAAATCTGCAGGGATCAGCTTTGGGATTGTACTGGGATATGGGAACAGCCTCTGACCCTCCAGGTCCCACCATTGCCCCCGAGGGTGGTGGGACCTTGTCCTCAGCCTGCCCAGAGCATCAGGGACAGCAGGAGTGACCCCTCCAGAGAGAACCAGCTGCAGGAAGGGTCTGGGGGCCAGAGGGAGCAGCTGCCCTGGCCTGGTCCCACAGCCACCCCTGGTGACATCGTGCCCCATGCCACCCTCACCCTGACAGCAGCAGCCCAGGAGCCACAACGAGCCCATTTGCAGGGACAATTTCCTTTCTGCTGTGCCCACACATGGCCATAAAGACAGAGCTGCTTGAAACAGGAAGGAAAAAGCATTTCCCTTTGGGTTTTGAACTTTTTCCTGATTTTTCCCCTCAATTAACTTGCATATTTTCCATTTACCACATTGAAAACATGGGAATTTCTCCCCTTTCCCCCTCCCAAATAAAAAAATGTCTGTAAGCACCAAAGTGTTCCTTGAGCAAAAGAAGTGATTTGGAAAATACCAAAAGACATTTTCTATGGAAATTTTGAGAGGATTTGTGCAGCCAGACATTAAAAAAAAAGCAGGGATTTCAACCAGCATTATCAGCACAGCATGTGGGGCTGGAAACAGGAGTGGCACCCCCAGCCAGCATCAACAGGAGCCACTTTGGAGTTCATTTTCCTTCCCATCCCAGTCCCAGCATTTCAATTCTCCAGTGGGGTCTACATAAACTAATTCCTCTTTTTCTCTTTTTCATCCCTGGGATAAAACTCTCTGCTGGCAGAACAGAAACAAACACACACAATATTGCAATACTGAGACCATCTTAGAGCTTAAGACTATTTAGAAAAAAAAAAAATACTGGCACAAAATTTAATAAAATAAAACTTTAAAAAAAATAAAAAAAGTCTTGATCCCTCCTAGGAAAAATTCTCTCTTGTAGAAAAGAGGACAATGGACAGAAAGGTGATGGAACAAGAACAACAGTTCTCGGTCTTTTCCTATATTGCCCTTCCCCAAAGCAAGAATATTCATCCATTTTGGTTTTCCAAAAGAAAAAAGTTTAAAATTCCTCAAATCCTCAGGAATATTGTCATTCCTGACCTGTCAGTTTGTGTGTGAGCGACCAAAGGGATCCATTCCATCGCAATTTTTTTCTAAACAGCCAAGGGTGGGGAGGGGATTGTTGGTTTTTTTAAGTGAGCTACATTTTCCTGGCTTTCTCAAAACTCAGAATTTTCCCCCAGAAAAGCCTGTCTTGAAACTTTCAGGAAATCAACAAAAAGCCCATCCTTCCCTAAAGTTTTCCTCTTCCTCCCCCCTCTCCCCCGACATCCTCAAAGCCTCGAATCTGAGCGGCCCTTGGAAAAAAACGAGCAGAAGAACAGCGAAAATCAATAAAAACAGAACCGCCAAACAAGTCCCGCGGGCCGTCCCTGTGGGAACAGCGCCGTGCCCATGTCCCTGTCACTCATCAGCGTCGGGTTTGACGTCGAGCATGGCGTGCAGCTCCTCGGGGGTGTAGCCCAGCAGGCTCTGCAGGTCGCACACGAAGCGGTACACGTAGCGCTTCCCCGCCGTCTTGTGGATGATGTTCTTGTCGTAGTAATAGCGCAGCCCGCGGCTCAGCTTCTCGTAGTTCATCTTGGGCTTGTTTTTCCTCTTGCCCCATCGCCGGGCCACCTGCAAGCAGCAGGACAGGGAGGAAAGGTCAGCCTGGCTGTGGGGATGTTCCCTTCCCAGCAGTAATGGGGAGGATTTCCACAGAATTCCTCACCATTAAGAATTGATGCTTGGGAAAACCAACCTCTGTGCAGTGGCAGAACATGGCAGAGCACCCCATGAGGATTTATCTGGGTAATTTCGTGTGCTACCTCAGATAGATCCTCGTATCCACCTCAGATATTTCCTCATATCCCAAGTCCTTCACCCCTTTCCCAAGGTTCCTCCTCCGCCTTCTTGTAGGGGATAGAACATAAGTAAATACAGGTAGTATAGAAAGTAATCTTATCCCCTAAAGAGTTGCAGCTGGGTTAATTATTAAGGATTAGGAGCAGGCCTGATGTTAACAGGCCGCAGCTGTAGCCAGTAAGAAGAGTGTTATAAAAGAGTGGATTGGTTGGTTGAGGGGAGCTGGAGCCAGTTGGGTACTGTGAGGACAAGGAGTCAGTGACTAGAGGAACTGCCTACGAGAAACATCAAGGAGGTACGAAACTCTGGCAATGTGGAACCCTTGCAATGTAAAGACAATATAAACTCTTGCACTATAATGACAACACCTTCTGCCAGTTCTAAACTGACACCAACACCCAATAGCCCAGTGCCAGTCACTTCTGCACTTAGGCAGGCTCCAGTCACTCATGGAATTATTTAGGTTGGAAAAGGCCTCTAAGATCATGGAGTCCAACTTTTGCCCAGCACTGATCCACCTACCCAAGTGCCACATCCACAGAGCTTTTAAATCCCTCCAGGGTGGGGACCCCATGGGCAGCTGTGCCAGGGCAGGACAGGCCTTTCCATGAAGAAATGTTCCCTAATATCCAACCTGAACCTCCCCTAGTGCAACTTGAGGCCACTTCCTCTTGTTCTGTCACTGGTATTTGGCAGGAGAAACCAACCCCGACCTTCCAGTCAGGGGAGGGGACAAAGGTCCTACCTGCTTCCCAAAGCAGGGGACAGTCAGCCCTCACCTGTACCCAGCCTATCTGAAGAGCTTTGCCACTGCTCCTCTTCCTAAGGTGTTCCAGCTACTTCCCACCAACTTTGGGCACAAACTCTGCTTCCAAAGGGTGACTGCGTCCCAATTTTCAACAAACTTTCAGTTGGACTCTGATTCCTTGGTTCCTCATGACATACCCAAGACCAGAACAAAGTGGCTGCCCAAAGGGAGGAAGAGAGGCTTATCCACCCCAATATTTCTGAGGAATTTGGGTTGAGCATTTAATTCCAGGGCACTTTACCTCGTCTGGGTCTGAAAGTTTGAATTCCCAGCCATCGCCCGTCCAGCTGATGAAGGATTGACAGGACTTGTCAGTGAGCAGTTCCAGCAGGAATTGCCACAGCTGGATGGGTCCACTGCCTAGAAAGACAAAGGAAACATGGGATATTAATGCCAGGAAAAGCACAGTTTGTTCTATCACAGAGGGGAAAAATTCCCATACAAAAGGTGCTCACTGAGTAAAATAAAGCCTTCTCCTGTCAAAAAGAGCCACCAGCAGCCACAAGGCAGGAGCTGAGCTGAGAGTTAAACCCTACAGGTAACAGAGCTTCCTATTTGCAGAAAGAGGTGAATATTCATGCCCTGGAATGCTTCACGTGGAGTTACATAAATAGGATTATTTTTCTGGCACACAAACAGGAGGAGTCACTGCCCTGGCACGGCAGCAGCGCCAATCCCTGTGCCAAGGAGCCGCCGGGCACGGCTGAACTCCGGCAGACTCCGCTTCCCGGCCGTGACTCTGTGCTCTGTGCTGCTGATGCAGATAAGGGGACCCAGGTACAGAATTCCTTGGCCTCTTTCCAGGGCGTGTTGCTGCAGGAATGGGCTCTGCAGGCTCGTGGGGAGGGCGGGGGCACACAGAGCTCCCCAGCCCAGGATCTCCTCATTGGCACAGAGAATCCACACGAAACCTCCCTGCGGCTGCTGGAGGCACGAGGTGATGCAGAGCATCCCATGCCATGGGCATTCCACCTCTCTTCCACACCTGGTCTCCACCTCCCCTCCAGTCTCTCCCTTGGGCCATCACCAATTTGTCCCAATGCCCCCAGTGAGAGCCTGTGGTGAGGTTTGGCTGGAGTCAGGGAGAAGTTTTGAAATATTTACCACTCCCTTGGGCTTGTGTCCCAATCCAAGGTAGAGGAGAAGCCCTGGAGCTAAAGTCTCTGTGATGAGCAACCTCCATATGTGGCCACACCCCAAGAATTGCACTTTGCTGTGGGTAAGCTGTTTTGGGGAGACCCTGCCATGGTTTAAACCCAGCTTGGAATAGATAATTAATTATGACAATAATTATAACAAGACAGCCAGAGGAGAGAGGAAATTATTTATCCCACAGGGAGTTGTACAGGCTGGATTAGCTGGGGTAATCCCAGTGCTGACAGCACTGAGCAAAGCTTCAAGCGGGGAAAAAATGAGTTATGGGCTCAGAAAAAGGGATGGAGCCCAGCCTGTTCCCAGGAATGACAATGGATGCTGTCTGAGCTGTGGCTGTGGGATAACCCATGGAGGGAAGGGAGGGCTCCCCTTCCCCACAAAGTTTGAAATGACTCCAAAGCTGCTGGGGAGGAGGAAATGAGGGAGCTGGCTCCAGGACACGGGAATGGCTGTGTCCCATCCAGCCCTTCCCAAATTGTTTCCCTCCTGTTATCCCTGTGGAACCGCTCCAGGGCTTTGTCAGCGCCAGCCCTGGGGTTATCACAGCCCCAGGCAGGGCAGGGCAGGGCAGGGAGCTCATCCTGCTGGAAAGGAGAAGGGACTCGGTGGGGAAAGGCTCCAGCCCGCTGCTCCCTGCAGCTTGCCAAGGTGTTGACTCCACAGCCACGCTCCCCAGCAGGGATGGAGCTGGATTATCCATGCCAGAATGAGGGAGGAAATGCAGATTACACCTTCGCTTCTCGTTGAAAGGGAGGAGTGAAAAGCCTGGCCTGAAGTGCCACCACATCTCCAGGCTCAGGCCTATTTATAGCAGCGAGCTCCAAATGCAGAGAAAACACTGGGAAAAGGCTTTAGTGGCTGCCTGAGGTCCTCCACAGGTGAATTCCCAAGGGGATGAGCTCTCTTGGCCCATCTGGCCTCACACCAACTTCCCACACACAGCCAGGAAGCATCCAACACCCAAACTGAGTTAACAGAGACACAGCCCAAGTGTCCAAGGCCAGGTCCATCCCCTCCCACTGACTTCTCTCCTGCCCAGCTGAACAATAAGGATTTTTAGTTGATTCCTTCCCCAAAATAAGAGGGATGGAAATGCATCACCTGGGTGCCAGGTTCTTGGGTGAGGAACTGCCCTCAAAACACCCCTGGCCCATGCTGGCCCTGCAGGATCTTTGGAGGTTCCAGCAATGGCCAGTGCCATTCCTGTTTGGCTGCCAGCTGGCAGAAGACGTGCTGGGAAACCCAGGAATTCCTGCCCTCTCTGCAGCAGGCAAGGTAGGGCTCCTGCCACCGCCCCCAGTGCCACCCTGCTGGGTATTTTGGGATTTCCAAGGAAGTGGTGTCATCCCTGGAACAGGGATTCCCAAGGTCTATTCTGAGTTGCCTGCAGGACACGCGTAAAGCCCCAGATTCCTCTCCTGGACAGGCAATTATGTGAGGAATGTGTTTGTGCCGGGCTCCAGGCATGTCCCAGGCCTGCAAACACCCCCTCCCTGCCCGAGGGGGAGGCAGTGGAGCCTGGCAGATGTGGCACTGCTCGAGATGGCAGCAAGGTGGCAGGAGCCAAACCCAGCACATGCCCAGGCCTGTGCCCCAATCAGCCCTGGCAGGGAGGAGACAGAGCAGGGAGCAGAGCTGGAGGTCAGGGCATCACCTGCTGCAGCTGTAATTAGTGCTGGGAGGGGATGCTGCACAAATGAGCCACTCTGCAGTCAGCAGGAGCAGGGAGTATCTTCCCATAGGGTCTCAAGGTGGCTCATGCAGCAATGGCACTCCCCTCAGTGTCACAGGGCAAGCTCCAGGCTTGTCCCTGCACCCAAACCTCCTCATCCACAGGAGCTGGGAGCAGTGCCCATTTTCCATCCCTTGTGCTCCAACCCTTCCCCTCACCCCAGCCAGGGCTGGAAATCCCCATCAGGATGCCAGGTTGGGATCACTCCATGGGAACCCCTGGGCTGGGATCACTCCACACAGCCAGGCTGTCCCAAGGCCAGGGGTGCCTCTCACCCCCTGCTTGGTTATCCCAAAACAACGCCCTGCTCCCACAGCGTGGATTGGGATGCAGCTCAGAGCATGAGTGGATGGGCACAAGGCAGCTTTTATGGCACTGCTCCCTCCACACACATCCAGGGGCTTCCCAGAGCAGGCCCAGCCCTGGCTGGGGACTGGGGGCAGCCCCTGCTCCACAAAAGACAAGGGGAGGACTCAGAGGGGTGGGGGCGTCCTCCCACCCCACCACGACCTCCTGCACCCCCGGGGCTGCTAAAAATAGCACCCACAATGGGGGCCCTGTCTGGCCTTGGTGGCACTGAACAGGGTCCTTCAGCAGCACTGTCACACCACAGGAATTCTGCGGCGTCAGGGGGAAAATATTCCCTGGGCTGGGTGTCAGTGGGACTGTGGGAATTGGGAAACGCTGCCCGAGTGGGGCTTCCTCAGCACCAGGCCCTGGGGGTGTCCCAGAGCCAAGGCTTTGGTGCCACACCATCCCTGAGCCACCCTCCATGGCAGGACAGGTCCCCAGCTCCTTCCCAGCCACGGGGACACCAGACTGTCCCGGGTGGGGCATTCCAGTGGCACGGTGACGGTGGCACAGTGACGGTGGCACCGCCCGGCTGGGGCAGACAGGGAGGGCACAACCCCAGCCCTGCCGTGTCTCTCGGCACGGTTTTACACCCCCACCCCTCCCAACGGCCTCTGTTTTGTTTCCCTTGGTTCAAACAAGACAAGAAGACAAAAAAACCCCACCTACCAACCCCCAGCGAGGCACCTTTGCCTGGCGCTCTGCGGTTTGTGGTTCCAGCCCCACAAAACAAGCAGCCCTGGCAACGGCTCCAAAACAGCCCCTGCCCCATCACCTGCCGGCCTGCCCACCCCTGGATGGCACCACGGTCCCCAAATGCCCCAGAAAGCTGGTCCCCATCACTCCCTTGTCAGAGCAGCTCCCACAGCTCCTGCCCAGGCTGGTGCAGGCAGCAGACACTGCACTGGTGGAGCTTGGATTGAGCATCTCCAAGGAACAGCTGTGAAAAAGCAGGAGAGGACCCAGGAAGCTCCTTCCCCCTTCCTCAGGGAGCAGCATAGCCATGACTGCAGGCAGGAGAGCAGCCAGGGCTGTCCAGGCCAGAGCTGCTCCCCTGCTGCAGCTCCTCTGCTCTCAGAATGGGTGTTGGGAGGACTGATCTCATAGAATATCATGAGTGGGAAGAGACCCACACAGATCAACCCCAGCTCCTGGCCCTGCATGGGACAGCCCCAAGAGTCCCACCCTGTCTCTGAACTCGAGGCTGACTCCAGGGGTACCTGGCAGAGCTCCAGGGGCTCTGTGAGCCTCACATGCCCCTGACAGTGTCCTCAGCACTGGGTGTCTGCAGGAGACCCAGGCAGAGCTGCTGCCCCCAGCACCCCCTGAGCTGTGCCACGCTTGGGCAGCAGCGCGTGGGGCTGGGTCTGCTCTCGTTTGCATGGCAGCCAGGTGGGGCAGGAGCCACTGAACCGGCCCTGGTGCCACCCTGCAGTCCCCACCCTGGGGAGGCCACAAGGGCACGGAGCCCATCGGGCCCTGCCTGAGGAAGGAGGGGGCAGGATCTGCTGGGTGGCCACCCTGAAGTCACCTGTGAGGGCAGGACATGAAGGACATGAGCCAGGAGGAGCAGGACGTGAAGGACAAGAACCAGGAGGAGCAGGAGAAGGACACAAGCCAGGAGGAGCAGGGTGACCCCATCCCCTGCACCCCAGCAGGGCCAGAGGAGCTGTTGTGCTGCTGGGCACAGGAGGGGGTGCCTGCATTCCCCAGCCCCTGTGCCCTGCCGTGCCCACATGGACTCTGTGCCCCAGCAGGGCGGGCAGGGAAGGAGCTGGAATCCAGGAGTGCTGCAGCACAGGCTGGGGAAGGGAGGCAAGGACAGCCAGGGCACTGGAGTGAGGCAGGAGAGGGGACAGAGAGGCAGCTGCTGGCAGTTTTGGGTGCTGGTGGCCACAGCACAGGGGGGATCTCGCCTGTGGAGGCTGCAGAGCAGCAGCAGAGCACAGGGGAGGGGCAGCAGCACCTGAGCTGGCCTGGAAGGGACCCACTTTCCTGGCACCACCTCGGCTTTCTTGCAAAACAGCAGCTGTGCTCTTAGTGCTGCACAGATAACATCACTCACCAACACCCTGCGAGGCCCAGGCTCTGCTCACAGCAGCTCACACTCTGCAGGGCTGGGGCACAGCTGGGCACAACCCTGTGGGTGCTGCCAGCCAGGCTCAGCAAGGCCTGGCCTGGGCAGGTCCAGCTCAGCAGAGAGCTGGGCTGGGACATCTGTGAGGGAGGCAGCTCCTGCAGGGCTCCTCAATTCCCACTGCCCAGCAGCACCACAGGGATGCTCTGAGAGGGACACTCAGGGCATGGGGGACAGCAGCTGGAGGGGCATTAACTCTTGGAGTGCTGGGACTGGCTTTAAAGGATCAGCCCCTCCCTGACTAGCCCAGAGCAGAGGACAGGAGCAGCAGCCATACAACCCTAGCCTGCATCTGTGGGTTCAGGGCTTGCTGTGCACTCAGCTCAGCTCTCCCATCCCTCTCCCCTCCCCTCTGGAACACGAGGGATGGCCCTGCTGGGTGCTCAGTGATGTGGAGCAGCAGTTCTGGGCCATGGCAGCACTGACACCGTGCATGGAAAGCCCCGGGTGTCAGTCCTGCCCACCACAGAGCAAACAAACCCCACAACTTTGCTGCCAAACCACACAGCTGCTCGAGGGAACCCAAACCCAGCTCAGTGCTGAATGGCCACAGTGAAGCAGCAAGGTCTGAGCCTCCTGTGGCCCTGCAGGGAGCAGCAGCACGGGTTGCAAACACCAACACGGGGCACAAAGATGCACAAAGGTGTAGCTGAGCTTATCCACCTGGTGCAGGGCTCCTGCAGGATGCTGGTGGCCATGGGAATCACCAGAGGCTGCAGGATCCAGCAGTGGCACAGCCCCAGGCGTGTGGAGGCAGAGCTGAGCTCACTTTAGCCCAGCTGGGCTCAGACACTGATCTCTGCCCACTCACACCAAAGTTGGCTCTGCTGCTGAACCACAGAGCTCAGACTGAGCTCAGCTGAGCCAGTGTGAGGTTTAGCAGTGAACACATCCCAGGCCACCCCTTGCCTGGATTTCATTGCTGCACTCTGTGTCATGGCAAAGAAAATAAAATCTGGCTTAATGTAGAATCTCAATCAGAGAACTTCTGAGCTGGGAGAGACCACCAGGACCATCCAGTCCCACCCCTGTCCCTGCCCAGACCCCTCAACAATCCCACCCTGGGCATCCCTGGCAGTGCTGCCCAAACCCTCCTGGAGCTCTGGCAGCCTCGGGGCTGTGCCCATTCCCTGGGCAGCCTGGGGGAAGAACCTTTCCCTGATCTCAGCCTGCCATGCTCTAGCCCAGCCCCAGATGTGCCCTCTGGTAAAATCCAAGCTGTCCAAGCTCCAAACCCAGGTGTTCAGGGCTGGCCCTCCCTGCAGCAATGGAAACTGAAGTTCACCAACTCCTGAGCACTTACATTTCTCCTCCGAAAAAAAGATAAGAAAATTGCATCAACCTCTCTGTGAGCAACCATGGCAACTTGTTAAAATAGGTCAAGATGTGGGGGCAGATAAGGCAGCTCTGAAAGGCCGCTCAGAGCTGGGTGAAGAACACATCAAACGCAACAGAGCTTCCGCCAAAATGCACCTTCTCACCCCACAGGCGCCTCTGGGGCAGATAGCATCAGAGATCTGCTGGGGCCACCTCCCTGGGCACACAGAAACAGCCTGCCAACACAGCCTGAACAAGTGTTGGGTCCCCAAAGCCAGGACAGAGAGCTCTGGGGGTGAGGGATGTGATGTCCTCTTCATCCTGCAGGGCCAGCAGGGCCAGCACGAGCAGGGGCTGGGGTTGGAGCTGGGGCTGAGGCTGCGTCTGGAGCTGGGGCTGGGTGTGTCCCCAGGGGGAAATGGAACCCCAAGGTCTCAGTGTTGAGGCTCCTGGGCTGGCAGAGCCCTGGTCCGCTCCTTGGGAGGCTCCACCTCCTCATCAGACTCTGAGTTCCTCTGCTCTGGCTGCCAGACAGCACTTCCTCCCCTGAGCAAAGTAAGAGTAAAGCATAGCAATGCACAAAGAGACCTGAGCTCTGCCTAAGACTCCACCCTGAGCCCTGCCCGAGTCCCCACTCTGAGCCCTGCTTAAATCCCCACTCAGCTCCCCCTAAATCCCCACTCTGAGCCCTGCTCAAATCCACACTCTGAGCCCTGCCTAAGTCTCACTTCTGAGCTCCCCCTGAGTCCCCACTCTGAGCCCTGCCTCAGTCCCCACTCCGGGCTCAGCTGGCCCAGGCCAGACCTGCAGCCCCTCTCAGGGCAGCCTCAGCAGGGTTTTCCTCACTGACAGACTCAGAGAGTGGGGAGTGCCCATTTCTCTCCAGTTTAAACCCAGCATGTTGTACCCGCTCTCCCCAGGCCCTGCTCTCACAGTGACCCAGCTCTGGCTCCCTTTGCTTGGAAAACCCAGAGCTGAAGGTCTGGGGGCTTTAAAATGGCTCACAGGGCACCTCTGGAGTCACTGCCTGCCAGGATCACCCATCCAGGGCCCTTTCCCAATGGCAAAAGCTGGCTCTGCTGGCTTGAGCCCTGAATATTGCTCAGCAGCCTTTGGAGCAGACAAACAGCTCCAGCACAAGCATTTCCCAGTGATTCCAGATTTTCCTCCCCACATTTAAAGCCTGTCAAGTGAAGCAATGCAAAAATAAGTAAAGAAATCAGGCCTTCCCACTTATTGATCCCACCAAAGTGCCTGGGCCAAGGGATTCTCTTCCCAGCTCCAAGAGGGGTTGGAAATGAGGTGAGGGAAAATGTTACACAGAGGAAAGTGTTTGGAATTGTGCTCTGGCACTGCAGGAACCCGAGTCTCCCCTTCCCGAAGGCACAGCTCCAAGGACAGCCTTTGGGGTGCTAAAATTCCTTGGAAAAACACAGAACCCGGCTACTGAGTTCAGCTCCTCGCCTCTCTCCAGGGGTGGCTCTTCTGCACTCTTTTCCATGAGCAACAGCAAACGTGGAGGGAAATATCCAGCTTGGAAAAGAATGCTCCTGATTTTGCCAGCACCCCCATGCCTCGGTTTCCCCAGCTGTTCAAACTCATCCCCAAAGCACCTCCAGGTGCCACAGGGAAAGGCATTGCCAGGAGAAAATAGGAGTAAAAATAGGAATGAAAAGAGCAAGTTGTGCTCAGTGGTGTCTTTTCTCAGGAGCATGGATTTCCATGGCACAGCAGAGAACGAGCCCCAGGGCACAGTCCCTGCTCTCCCTCCCCAGCCCATTCAGGAATGCAAAGCTCTCTCATATGTGGTAGAGTCTCATTCAGCAGGCAGGGCTGAGCTCTCTTTCTAACTAAAGCTATAGCAACAAACCACTTCCTTTTTTACACTCCTAAAATGATCTGCCCACCTTTCCTCCCCTGCAGCTCTCCCACCCCCAGGCTCGGTGTCAGCCCCGCGCGTGGGAGGCACGCGGGGACAGCCGCGCCCCAGGAGCTGCTCTGAACCTGGCCACGATCTTTATCACCACCAGCTCTTTCCACCAGCTGCTCCCAGCTGGGCCAGGACACATCTGAAGGTGCAGAGCCAGGGGAACAGGCAGGAGGCTGCCCCAGAGCTTTCCCCAGAGCACAGGGAAAAGCCATGGCACACAAGGGCTGGAAAGGATGAGCTCAGTTTTAGCTGGAAGTCCCATCCCACCAGGTTTCTCTCCTTGGAGATGCCAGATTGCTGAAGGGCTGTCATAAAGAGCCAGAGTTTCCATGGCCTATCACCTTCTCATCTCTCCCAGCGCAGGGAATGGAAAATGTTTGGGATGGCTCTGGCAGTGCCCCATCCCTGCTCACACCAAGGTACAGCAGAGCCTCCTCTGTGCCACAGGGAGAGAGAGGATCCATCCCCACACACAGAGCAGTGCTGGAGCTGCAGCTGAGCCTGCTCCTGCCCCAGGGGGAAAGCACACCCAAGAGCCCACCAGTCACCAGCACAGGGCTGCAGGCTCTGTTCAGGGAGCAAACCAGCCCCAGCTGCTCCACAGGCAGCCAGGGGCAAAGGGAGAACAGGGCATTGAGTGCCCTGTGCCCAGCCAGGTGCCACATCCCCCATGAGCTGTGGGATGGATGGGAAAGAGATGCAGACACCCCAAAACCCTCCCTGCACCAGCCACCCCGAGCTGGGGCAGCCCAGAGTGCCCCAAGACTGTGTCCCTGGGCACGGGGAGGTGCTGCCCCAGGGGCTGGGGGCACACAGGGGGTCCCTGCCCTACCTGTGTAGCCAGCCAGGGCAGCAGCAGGGATGACAGGCTTGTCCTTGTTCATGTCGGCCCGGTCCCGCACATAGTCCTTGAAGGTGCCCTTGGGCTTGTGGCTGGGCAGGGTGGCAGGGTAGTCCTCAGAGTCGAAGCTGTCGTAGGAGGGGACGCGCTGCAGGCTCTGGAAGGAGGACTGGCTGCTCCAGGACTGCGTCAGGCGGTCACAGCTGTCGTAGCTCTCTATGCTCTCGAAGGAGTCCTGGCCTCCCAGCTTACCTGGGGGAGGCACAGCAGGTGAGACAGGCCTGGCCAGTATAGGGTGCTTCACCTGGCAGTAGAGAGTGCTTCACCTGGCCAGCACAGGGTGCTTCCCCTGGCCAGCACAGAGTGCTTCACCTGCCCAGTACAGCACACTTCACCTGTGCACTGTGCAGGCACAGAGCAACTGATGCTGTTCCTTTCCATCCCATCTCCATAGTGAGCACAGCCCAGAGCTGCAATATTTTCACCTTTGCCATCCAGAGCAGGGCTGAGCCCTGGAAAACTTCAGGCAGAGAGAGACAGGGGAAAAACCTAAATCTGGCCTGTCTACCCAAGACTGGGGCCTGGGGCTGGCTGGAAATGGTCCCTCACTTCCAAAAGGCAATTTCAGAGACAAAATTCACTTTAGATACTCAAGGCTGAGCTCAGGAGCCTAAACATGGGCACTCCAGCACCTCTTCATTCAGAGGATGCTGAGGCCCTGGCACAGGGTGCCCAGAGCAGCTGTGGCTGCCCCTGGATCCCTGGCAGTGCCCAAGGCCAGGGACAGGGCTTGGAGCAGTCTGGGACAGTGGAAGGTGTCCCTGCCATGGCAGGGGTAGAACCAACTTTAAGGTCCCTCCCAAGTCAAACCTTTCCATGGTTCTCTGATTTCTGTGATTCTCTTGCTGCTGAGGGATATTGGAGGTCTCCAATAAATCCCCATTACATCTGCCAGCCCAATTCAAACACGGCTCAGGCACACCCAGCTCCTGGAATTTGGATGTTTCTCCCCAGATTACACAGCAGCCTTTTGCTGCCATCTGTTCCAGTCAGCCCCAAATCCCCAGCCAGCAGCAGGTTTGCTGCAGGAGCAGAGCCAATGGCTGAGGGCTCCAACAGCTTTTTCCAGCTCTGGTAAGGTGAGCACAGCTGGTTTGTGTCAAAGTCACTCTCTGGGGTATTTTTAGTCAAAGCCAGAACATGAGAGGCCAGATCCTCAGCAGTGCTGATTTACACCCCCCAGAGCCAGCCCTGTACTGAAACAGAGCTAAAAAAGGCCCCAAAGAACAAACTGAAATTGCAGCCTCTGATCTCCCTACTCTACTGATTGCTCAACATCTTCCCTGACAAGCTAACAGGATCATTCAAGTTCACTAATTTCCCAAACCCAGCTAAAAACAGCTGCTGGGATTGTGCAAGAGCTCCTGGAGAAATTTCCATTGGCAGAGCTACCCACAGCCTGGGCCCAGAGAGCAAATCCCAGGGGACAGGGAACGTGGAAGGGCGCTGGCACACGCCCCCAAATATTTGTTGTGCTGTAGTTTGAAGAGCACTTGCTGTGAAAAGACTCAACTACTGCAGGGCCTGCTCTGATTGCTGGCCTGGAGTCACTGGGAGCTGGGATCCATTGGCTTCACTCTGCTGGGACAGCCCTGTTCCAAACTCTTTTCTATTTGCTTTTTGTTTTTTGAGGACTTTCACACTCCAATCCTTCCCTGAATCCTGCTAAGGACAACACAACGCTGCTCTGTGTGTGTACATTAATTGGCATAACCAATTCCCTGAGCAATCCTGCAGCACAGCCTCATTTAGAAAAGGAATTAAAACCTGACAGAGATGTGATTTGTGTCAATCCATTGAAAATTCACCTAAATTCCACCTAGCTGGAACAATCACGCCCTGCACTAACTCAGGACCAGCTTAAATGATTTTGGCAGCTCCACTTCTCAACCAGCCGCCCTCGCTGACAGGGCAGAGAGAAACAACCCCCATGGGACCCCAAAACTTCCTCCTGAAGGCCCCACAGAAGGCCTGGAAAAGGCCCCACAGTGTCTGGAAAACCTTCACCCTGAGGTGATGCTGAAGGGCTTGACTTGGTGTCAGACTAACCTTGTAAGACAGTGCAGGGTAAAGAGGGACATAAATATAAATTAACTGGGCTCTGCTTTATATTAAGGCTTTCCCCCAGCCCTGGGAGGATTTGTGCCCCCAAAGGCCCTTCCATGGCTGAAATGCAGCACTGGTGTGAGCACAGCCTCTTGCAACCACTGTTCAAGCCTTTGCTAACAGCAGCAGCCAGGGCTCTCTGTTCCCTCCCCCAAAACCATTTTTAGGTTTGAGAACAGGCTCGAGGTTCAGTTGCAAAAGCCTTCCTGAACCATTGCACTGTGAGAATGATGAAATCACCTGTGTGAAAGAAAAGGTCAAGAAAATGCAAAGACATTGCTGAAGTTCAGGCAGAAAAACAACCCCAAAAAGAGAAGTTTCCCCAAAATGAAAACCCTGCTGCCCTTCTGGCTCAGGTCACCTCTCTCAGAAGGAGAGGCACAAATAACAAGTTCCCTGTAATTGGCTCTCCCAGCCTGGAAAAAGAGTGAGGAAGTTCAAATGGGCTGCACGTGCCTGGAAAGCAGCTCTGGCCTTGCTGGGAGGGCAGCTCATCCTCAGCTCTCTGGATAAAGGGGTTTAACTGCTGCACATCAAACCTGGCTCACAGCACCACATCCCTGTAATGAATTCTGGGGCTGAGGACACCTGGGTTCCATTTTAGGGGATGGCAGGCAGGTCACTGCTCTTCCCTGTGCCCCAGGTTCCCTACCTGGAATGTGGAGATAATGATCCCACTTGTGAGGGACTTTGAGCTCCATGTGTTCAGCTTTTTGCTTTGAAGGAGGCAGAGCCACATCCCCAGCCTGGCACCACTGATGTGATCACAAAGCAATCAGACACGTGGGCCCCATGTGTTCCCAGCCTCACAACATTAACTGGGAAGGAATTTGGGCTCAGATCCTCCAAAGTGTTCAGGTGTTCAAATCCCACCACCTCAAACAGGAATCATGTACCTGTAACTCTTTGGGGAGCAGCATTTGGGGGTCCTTGGCTCTGCTGCTGCCCCAGCCCCTGACACCTGCAGCTCCTAACCAAGCTCAGGAATTGGCTGCAGCAGAGTATTTCAAACAAGCAGCCATCAAATCCTGGACATAATGGACAAAGACTTTGGATCACAGAGTGCAAAACTCTTCAGAGCCTTCAACAGCAATTCCCAATGAGAACTTGTGAAGAATTTGTGGGGATTTGCCTGGGTTCCTAAAAATGGGATTGCTACGAGCACCCAGCAGTTTGTCCTCCCTGATAACACAAAAGCTCAGTTCTATTTCTCTCAGGTTGGACATCAAAGCACAGCACCAGAAACGTGCCCTTTCTGCAGAGGATGTAAAACAGGAAGCAGGGGAGAGGAAAGAAAGACCTTCCTCGAGGTTTCCCTGGGAAGGGAGAAGGGCAGGGAGGGCTCAGAGCCACCAGGGAAGCCAGCAGTGCTGGAGAGGGCTGTGTCAGCACTGCTCAGCTCCCTCAGTGCTCCCAGGGCCATTCCCGGGGGAGGGAGGTGAGAACAGCAGGAACCCAAGCCAGCCCCTGTCACACAATCCCCTTTTCTAGGATTTTCATCCTTCTATTGCTCCAAAGTATCTAGCCTTATTTTACAATCTATCCTTTAAAACTCTTTTTCTAGTTCCATTTTATAGGAGTTTGCCCTTTGTTGACAGATAGACAAAACCATCCTTTGTCCCCTCCAAAAGGAAAGAAGCCCAGAAGTTTCTCTCCTGGATTAGGTGAAAAATCCACCTCATGGGCCATGGGGACTTCACCTCAGACTCAAGGATGGCCAATTGGACAGGAGCCAAAAAGCCCTTCCTGGGCAATTAACTAGAAAAAGGAGTGAACAAAGAAACTAATGGCTTTTGTGAGGTGTTTTACCAGGAGCAAGAACATCTAGCACCTGGCTTGGTTTTCCTCTGTTTGTTATTTTGCCTTTTATTAAACCTTTTTGTTTCCAACACTGCAACAGAAGCCATCGTGATGATTTTTATGCCTTCAAAGGTAGCTGAGCTATCTTGGGTGTGATATAGACCTCCAAGAGCTTATTAGACTTGGCTTGAAGAATACTATATCAGGATTTCTCTCTCAACAATATCTGTCCTGTTCCATTTTTAACTCAGCATTTCTCATCTCCCGGTTTCCCTACAAACACATCCTGTATAAACCTTCTGTTTAACCCTGAAAACCCTCTCCAGGTTGATTTCCCAGTTTGATCCCAGCCTTACCTCGGCTGGCACGGCCCATGCACATGTTGTCTGGGGTCACCACCTCCTGCTTGATGGAGAAGAAGTCGTTGTGCAGCGGGTCCTGGGCGGGCTCGCGCAGCAGCACCGAGGGGTACTCGCTCTCGTACTTGAGGGACAGCAGCTCCTCCGAGCTGATGGGGTGCAGGGTCTGGTAGGACTCGGTGATGAAGCTGGGCTCCGAGAACTCGGAGGGGGGCACGCACTGCGCGTGCTCGATGCCGTAACCTGGGGACACAGCAGGGTCAGAGCCTGCCCAAAGCAGCCCCGGGGTCACAAAGCATCCCATAGCCCTCCCTTGGGCACTGCTTTGGGCTTCAGAGCATCCCACAGACCCTCACTGCTTGGGGTGAGGGCTCCAGACATCCTACACCCCCTCACTGCTTGGGGTGAGGGCTCAGAGCATCCCACAGCCCTCCCTTGGGCACTGCTTTGGGCTCCAGACATCCCACAGCCCCTCCCTGCTTGGGATAAGGGCTCCAGAGCATCCCATACCCCTCCCTTGGGCACTGCTTTGGGTCCCAGAGCATCCCACAGCCCCTCACTGCTTGGGATAAGGGCTCCAGAGCATCCCATACCCCTCCCTTGGGCACTGCTTTGGGTCCCAGAGCATCCCACAGCCCCTCACTGCTTGGGATAAGGGCTCCAGAGCATCCCACAGCCCCTCATTGTTTGGGGTGAGGGCTCCAGAGCATCCCATACCCCTCCCTTGGGCACTGCTTTGGGCTCCAGACATCCCACATTCCCTCACTGCTTGGGGTGAGGGCTCCAAACATCCCAAACCCCTCACTGCTTTGGGCTCCAGACATCCCACACCCCCTCTCATAATGCTTTGGGTAAGGGCTCCAGAAGCTACAGACAGGGGGTCTGAAAATGCAGCAATTTAGCAAAATAAGACACCCCAGACCATCCTCAATGTGCTTTGCACCAAGCTCCTGCCAGGACAGCTGCCAGAAGGAAAAAGCTGGAAAATTCTGGGGAGTGGATTTTAATCCCTTGTGCAGACACTCCTCCCCATGCCAGAGCCTGGAATCCCAATCCACAGAATCCCCTGACTGTCCTCAATGTGCTTTGCACCAAACTCCTGCCAGGATAGCTGCCAGAAGGAAAAAGCTGGAAAATCCTGGGGAGTGGAGTCTCAGCAGAGGAACAACACGGTAAAAGTGTTTCATTGCTGGTTGGGAAAGGTGAGTCCTGGCACCTCTCCCCATGCCAGAGCCTGGAATCCCAACCCACATGGAATCCAGGAATCCCAGAAGGTTTTGGATTGGAAGGAACTTAAAGATCATCCCATTCCACCCCTGCCATGGCAGGGACATCCCCCACTGTCCCAGGTTGCTCCAAGCCTTGTCCAGCCTGGCCTGGGACAATTCCAGGGATGGAGAGTCCAGCACCTCTCTGGGCATCCTGTGCCAGGGCCTCCCCACCCTCACAGTGAAGGATTTCTCCCTCACACCTCATCCAAATCTCTCCTCCTCAGGTCAGTTAGGCTTTTTGCTGGTTCGTGAAATATCTCCCAGATTTCCAATGCCCTTAAAGAACATCTCCAAAGCAATGGCAATGGGAAGTGCAGGAGTGCAGGTGGAGACTCATCCCTTTCCTTGCTAGGCTCCTCCCTGGCAATCCAGAGTTCAGCCTTTCCCCCCATTCTCTCCCTTTTTTAACAGGATTTTTACAATTCCCAATACTGAGGTGTGCTGAGGCCACTTTCAAAATCTGCTGAGTTACAGCTTCAAACAAACAGTGCTTGAAGAAATCAGATGTTGGCACACAAGGCAGCCACCAAAAAGTCCAGGAGGCTTCCAAACCAACCCTAAACCCTTGGAAACACAAGATCCCCTTTGCAGGGTGCAGTCCTGTTGTGGTGAGGACAAACCTCTGCTCAAAGGTGCCTTCCGGCATGGCGATGGTGATAATTGACACTGCTAATTGAGACTTACTAATGAAGTAGTCTGAGGTGTAGCGGGACTCGGGGTACGTGGTGTTCACTCCGTTGGCTGGGTACGGTTTCGCCTCCTCTGCAAAGAGGAAAGGAAGGAAACGTCACCAGTGGAAGGCACACGGAGCTGTGCAACACTTGCTGTGACACACAGAGCCCTGAACTTCCCAAAATCTCCTCCCCAGGTCAAACTGGGACGTTCTGAGCAACAGAAATGGATCCAGTGCTGAAATCCCACAGGAACCTGGGGCACGTGGGGTCCTTTGGGAATTCCTGCTGAGCTTAGACAAAACCAGCCCAACCCTAACAGCAACAATGCCCTCAGCCAGGGCCCCAGGGGGCTCTGAGCTCCCAGCTGCAGCATTTCCTTGCTTGCCTCAGGCTTTATCACCTCTCCTTCTCCTGGGGGTTGCTGAGCACACTTCCATGTGTGAGCTCCTGGAAAAACTCCCCACACAAGGACAGTTGTTTTCCTGGAAGAGCCCTATCTTTAGACCAGCAGTAGGTGTGCATTAGGAAGTGAGTGACCCATCCCAAAGCCAGCTCCTCTAACTCCAAATCCATGTGCATTCCCAGCCTGTGCAGCACCTGATGCTGGCAGAACATTCCATGTCCCAAACTGCTTTGTTCACTGTCCCCGATCCCATTCCTGACACAGACTCCTCCACGTACATATGGTCAAAATGCCAAATTTCAGCTTCCCATAGGCATAACTCACTGGGACAGAGCATGGAGCACATCAAGGCATGGATTCTCTGCTTCCTGTGGCTTTTTCCAAGCACTTTGCTCCTCCTGGGCTGTGCTGAATTTGCTTTCCCATGTAAAAGCCACGCTACCCTTACTCTGGGCAGTTTTTCCATGAACACCTGACTCATTCCAGTGTGGCATTCTGAGCAGGGATATTGGGATGGGAATTTTCTTTCCTTTAACCAAAGCAAGGCCCCCAGGCAGCTCTGGGCTGGGTTTGTTCTGCCCCAGCTCTGGAGAGCTGAGCACAGATAACGCACGTTCCCTGTGAGGAGCCTAAATTTGGCCTTCTCCCCTGGGGACTGCAGGCTGGAAAATATTCCCTAACAAAAGGAGAGGTTGTGCAAACACAGAGGGCTAATGAGAAATGCTCTGTTCCTCTCTCCACAGTGTCTGCCAAGGGGCAGGGGGTGACCACAGAGCAGGGGAGAACCTTTGGCTCAGCTTAGAGTCAAGTGCAGGGCACTGCTGACTGCTGGTAACTGAGGAGGTTATTTTAGGAAGAATTATGGAAAAGTGAGCCTGAAAATACCCAAATCCATGCAGGGAAAAGGCACCCATGTGCTGTTTTTAAAGCCTGAGCAGGCTGTGGTACGTGAGTCAGGCAGTGCTCACAGGGGACAGCGGGGTCACAGCCTGTCCCAGCATGACCCCGGGCCAGCAGCACAGGTAAAGCCAGGCATTTCGGGGTTAACAACCACTCCCAGCACCAACACCCCCAGTGATGATGATGGGGAGGATGGAGAGACAAGCTGGAGCCCTGGCTGAGCCTGGAGACACCTGGATCTCTTCCCATGTCACATCCAGGTGCAGAGGGAGAGCCCCAGCTCCTCCTGTGTGGGCAGGGACAGGGACAGGGACAGCTCTGTTCTGTCTGTACAGCTCCAGCCCAGCTCTGGTCAGGGCTGGAGATGAGCCCCAGCACCTACAGGGAACAGAAACCAGTCCTGGGGGGAGTCTGGTTATTTTTTGGGAGCTCTTTGTCACCCACAAATACCTCACTGGAAATGTGCTCAGAGCCCACCAGAGGAGCAAGGGCCCTGCTTGTGCCAGAGTGACAAAGTCACCAGTGAAACCAAACAGGCAAAGGAGATTTCTGGGCTCCCAGGGCAACACCAACAGTGTGAAGACACAGAAATTCAGCTTTATTCATTTTCAGCCTTTCAGAAGAAGAGTTGCAGCAGGCACAAAGATTTTCAGCTTCTTTGAAAAAACTCCTCTCTGTCCCAGGCCTTTGTACCACCAGTGTCTGAATACCCACGTGTGTCAGTGCTGTCTGAAGTTATGATTCCTCTACCAATTCAGTGTCTGAATAGGCACATCTGTCAGTGCTGTCTGAAATTATGATTCTCCTCTGCCATAAATGTACAGCATCAAGTCCATCTCTGTGTGGGGAATCTGCAGGAAGGAGAAGCAAACCCAGCCCTGGTGCCTCAGTCAGTGCCTGCAGCACATCCCACCCTCTCCAGTGGGCACAGCCCAAAAATCACAGAATTACAAATCCTAGGAGGGTTGGGTTGGAAAGGACCTTGAAGACCTCCCAACCATGGGCAGGGACAGCAGGGAAGAAGGGCTGTGGGAAGGTGCAAGCAATGGCTCAATGCAAGGAGAAATTGGGCTGACACAAGGTTTGGCTTTGTTTGGTTAAACTGCTCGGTGTTGATCAAGCACTCCATGAAAAATATGCAAAACAAAAGGGACAGTGCAGATTTAGAGCCCAAGAGCAGGAAAACAGCCTGGCCTGCCCAGAGCCCAGGAAGGGCCATGTTTACCTTCTGCAAACCACAGGTAGCAGTAAAATTAGTAATGGGCAATTAACATCCATTTGTCAATGGTTTCCTGGAAGGAATAACTGTGCTCCCCCTCCCCTTCCTGCCACCAGGGTCAGTAGGACAGCACAGGGGACATTCCAGGAAAGCAAAGAGCTCTGCAGAGAAGGGAGCTGGAAAAAGAGCCCAGGTGTGCTGCAGCTCCTGCTTGTGGCTCAGGCTGAGGTGCTCAGCTCCTCACCTGCTCCTTAGAAACCATCCCAGTGCTCCTGGGCATCCAGACATGGAAAACCAACACCCTAAATCAAAGTGTGTGTCCCCAGTCACTGAAAGTTAATGCCCTTGGATGCTGTCATGCAGGGAATGGCACAGATGGCTTCCCCTCCCAGAAATGCTGGTTTTGGGGACATGGAACACCCTCTTTTGGGACAGGGAACAAAGCAAAGCAGCTTCCAATCGCCACTGGGAAATTTGGGCAGGATTTTGGCTGTATTCCTGTACCCAGTTCCAGTGGAGGAAATAGTAAAATTCACAACAGGAGCTGAACAGGCTGAGGAAAAATGCTTTGGAAAATCCCACCATGGATTCCAGGCAGGCACAGTGTCCCTGCCCACTGGGGATCCCTGCCAAGCAGCTGGCACAAACACTCTGCCTCTTTGAGGCACTGCCAGGATTTGCCTTGCCCGCTGCTGTTGGGATGCCCATTTGGAACCCTGCTGAAAAGCTGGGCTTTGGAAAATGTTTTTCCTGGGATTAAAACTCAAGGTGAACACCTCCTGGTCTGTGGAAAGCCCCAGAGCCAGGCTGGCAGGGATGGTGCGAATTGTTCACCCCAGGACTGACCTTTCTGCAGGATCTCCAGATGTTCCCAAAGGATGTCTCCCACAAAGTCAGGCGCCAGCTCCAGGAAGCACTCCTTGCCCAGGGCACAGAGGGCAGCTCCATTCATGCAGAACTTCTGGAAATCCACCTCCTTCAGGCTGAACTCGTTCACTGCCCACATCACCCAGTCCCGCACGTGCGTCTCCGTCCACTGCTGCGGGTCTGCAGAGGGATCCAGCCGTGAGCACCCTCAGGCAGTGCTCCCAGGACAGCAGGACACAGACAGTGCTGCGGCTGCCCTGCACTGCCACAGCCTCACCCCTGGCAGCCCACGGCACCAGGGTGTGAGGAACACCATGCCCAGGCTGGATCAGCCTTAATGGGGACACGTTTCATCCAAGGAACAAGCTTTGGATTTGTTTGGGACTTCTAAAAATCCCATAATTTCTCTGACCCCTTCTCCCACCCATTTCTCCAATTTTCTTGGTTTCTCCCACCAGCCTCTGTTAAAGAGTTCATGCTGCTTCTCTGTTTAGTGGAGATGACTTGTCCACATTTTTCCAAGAAGCTTCAGGTGGTATTTGAAAGGCAACACCACCTGAGGAAAACCAGCAAGGGAGCTGGCAGACAGGGAAATCTGGGCAGCCTGGAAGGAGGACACAGCTCCTGTGGGGGTACTGTGGTCGTTCATAGGAAGCCAAGTCTTACCTTTGGGAATTCCCAGCCGCTGCTGCTCCTTGGCAAAGCCGCTGAACGTGGCTTTCAGTGCCTGGGACATCATTTCTTTGCTGCTGGGCGTTAATAAAGGCACATCTGCACACTCCATGTCTGAAAGAAGCAGGAGGGAAACACAGCCATGAGAACACGGGGCTGGGAAAGACATCAGGGAATGCCAGCCAGGTGTACATGGTGTACCTACACTTCTGGAATGTTCTACTGGATGATGATATCAAGGCCTTTCCAGATATCAGCCTGCTGGGCTTCAGCATTCCAGGTGTGTCTAGAGCTTGGGAAATGGCTCCACAGCTCCAGGCACTGAGGAAGGCAGAGTCCCACACCAGGATGAGCAAGAAAGAGGGAGAAAAGCATCCCTGAATTGTCACTCTGTCATCCCAGTGCAAAGAAAAGCAAGGAGAAAAATTATAGAATCCTAGAAAATTCTTCATCCTAGGAAGTTCCTCCCAGTGGGGGTGGGGAGGCCTTGGCACATGTTGCCCAGAGAAGCTGTGGCTGTCCCTTCCCTGGAAGGGTCCAAGGCCAGGTTGGAATAACCTGGGATAGGGGAAGGTGTCTCTGCCCAAGACAGGAGGTGGGATGGGATGGGCTTTAAGGTCCCTTCCATCCCAAACCATTCCATGATTCTAGCATGAAAAAGCGAGCTGACAGCAGGCTGAGACAGGATGGAGGAGTGGCAGAATACCCATTTGAGGGGGGAAGGGAAACAAAGAGCTGGAAAATCCCACATTAGCCCAGAGTTACGTCAGGCACATCCATAGCAGGAGCCAGGGTGAGTCATGGCCAACGCTGCCATCCCATGGGACAGCGGGGCCAAGCCGAGAGCCAGGCCTGGAGTCAGTCCTGACAAGCACCAAACCTCTTCCTTTCCTTTTTTAAATCCCTTTTTCTAATTTATTTGGAAGGAGATGAAGCTTTGTAGCCAAAGAGTCTCACAATAAAAGCAAGCATTTGAGGCAAAATATCTGAATAGAGGTTTGGCTCTTTTCCCCGTACTTTCAGTGTTCCTGAAAAACATCTTTGATGGAGAAGGAAAGTCTTGAACAACCACCACCCCAAAAACTGCCCTTGGTCAGCAGAGATGAAAATCTTCCACCTGAGGCTGGTTTAGGTCTGCAGCCTAGTGGAAATTTTCCATGAAAACTCAGTGGAAAAATGACACCACGGGCAAAGAAAGTCTTTGGTGTTCTCATGAATATCTGGACGCCAACACTGAAAATCAAAAATTCTGAGTCTTGTGGAAACTCAACCACCACAGTTTTCCATCGCTCCAAGTTCATTAAACTCCTGATTTAATAAACTTTTACACCTGCAAAAAGCTGCTGTTGCAGACAGTGTTGGTATTTTCCTGATAAAACACAGAGTCAGGGATGAAAGCAGTGCTGCAGCCACTGGGAAGAGCCAGCCCAGCTGCCCAGTCTGGAACTCCTGCTCCACTCAACTCCTCTCCAGCCAAACTCATGGGCAGCATTTAAAGGCCAAACAACCCAACACTGGGTTTTTTTCCAAGTAGGAATCTGGGGGTTGGGTCAACAGAATTCTAGGACAGTGGTGCAGTCATCACCCCTGGAAATGTTTAAAAAACCGATGGATGTGGCTCTTGGGGACATGGATTGGTGGTCACCTGGCAGTGCTGGGGAATGGTTGGACCTCATGATCTTGGAAGTCTTTTCCAACCTAAACAATCCTGGTTTTCCATGGATAAACTTCCAAATGCAGCTCTGTAGCACAGGGTGGGGGTAACAATGCTGCAAAGCATCCCCAGATCATCTGCTGGATGCTCCCAACACAATTCCACTGCCAAGCCACACAGAGCAACTTCTCTGTCCCCACTTCTGCACCTTCCACCTCTCAGCCCCAACACAAAAATTCCCCCTTCCCTCTGCACATCCTCCAGCCAAGTCCCCAGGGCTCTCAAGAAATCATTTGCAGACTCTTGGCTCAGGTAGGAGCAGTGAAATTCCCGACACGGAGTCTCTCAGGACACAATTCCTGCCCTCAGCCCAGCACACAATCCAGCATTGCCTCCACAGTGGCAGGATCAGGACCTTCGAAAGCAAATCCCACATCCAAAGGCTATTTGGCAAATTACACTTCATTATTTACTGGATTTGGCTGGAGAGGGCACGGAAAATGAGCAGCCACCATCGCTATCTCTGTTCCCCATCTGCTGCCTGAGATAACACTGGGAGAAAGTAGCTCGGTGCCCCTTTCCCTTCATCCTCAAGTTACACTTGAATGCTCTGCTCTCCCTGCTCCGTGGCCACAGGGACCACCCAGGAATCTGCTCCCTCTGCTGCCTCAACAGCAGCTCCTGCCTGCCCTGGGAAGATGAGTCAGAGCCAGGCTGAGAAAACGGTTCTAACCCCAATTTAACACTGAATCACCGTGAAAACCTATGTGGAGGTGAGCTCCTCAGGCCAGGCACTGAGAGCAGGGTGAAAAATGGATTTTTGTGTCTCTGCAATAGCGAGGGCCCATCCTTGATCCTGCTGTTTGGTCGTGCAGGATCCACGGGTTGGCTTTGCACAAACCCAGCAAATCAATTTTTCAGTAGCGGGAGGATAAGATTTCAGTTTAGGAAGGTGAATGCTGAGCTCTGCACAAACAACCTGTCAAAACAGGGGAGACTTAAAAGTGATTCCCAGGGAGAGGTCACAGGGAAGCAAACAATCTGTTCCCAAATGAAAAAAACCAAGCCAGAGGATGGTTGCTATTTAAACACCCAAATCAACACAAATGTGCATTTCAAGGCTTCTGCAAAATCTGTTGTGCTCGGCAGATTTAGGACTAAAACATCATCTGCTTTTTCCTGCAAGGTCACAGCCACTTGTTTGAATTTCTGCTGAGGACAGAGCAGCCCCAAAGCCCTGAGCCTGCAGAAGCCTTGATTGGCTCAGCAGTGTCCCAGAGCAGGGGAAAACTCACCCAGGGAAACCAAATGCATGTGTGAAGCTCTGCAGATGTGCTTGAGGACAAGGCTTGGCTGGTGGCTTGAGAAAGATGGGGTGGATGGACAGTTTTTACCCAAATTCTGCTTCTGCTGCTCTGAGGGTACTGAATTTATTTAAATAATTCAGTATTTATTTTAAAACTGGGTGGTTTATGTGCAGGGAGCATGGTGGGTTTCACCCAGCTCTGTGCAGGGCCAGGACTCGGACTCAGTGATCCCTGTGAATCCCTGCCAACCTGGAATATCCTATAATAATCCCATAATTCCATGAACTTTGCTGCTGCAGGGAAATTCCTTCCCGTGGAGGCAAACCCAGCCCTGGCAATGTCCTCCAGCCCTTCGCCTCCAGTCTGGGCTGCCTAAAGGTCAGAGTTGAGCAGAATTTCAGGAACAAAAGCAACAAGCCCCGCTTTGCTGCCCCGGTATCAGCTTTCAGTGCCATCTGAAACCTGTTTGCAAGATTTTAATCAAACCTTGCACCAATAAAACCTCTCCTTTCGCGCTGCCCACGGAGCTCAGGCTGTGTGCAGGGGCTGGGGCGGGAGCCAGCACCAGGCCCAGCTGTTCCACCTAAACCCAGTTTAGGAATGCCGGGGCTTTAATCCCAAAAGCAAGCTCAGCAGCAGGGGCCAGACTGGGATTTCTGGAGGTTTTTATGAGCCCATCAAAGCCCCTGACACGGCCGCCACGTGCACCCAGCTGTGGGGATGCCGTGTCCTCGTCCCTGCCGACAGAGCCGCCTTTGATTTCCCTCCTGGGAGAGCAGGCAGGGAGCTCTGGGTTGATTTTTAAACTGTGCCAGGAGTTGCAGTCGCCCTGTTGAGTTATGTCAGCAGCATCTGCAGAGCAGAGATGCAGGATTTGCCTCTCATGGGGACAGCTTTTATCTGGCTGCAGCTTTCCAAGGCAAAGAGGGATCTGGAGGCTCGGTTCTCCAAACCAGGCCCCTTCAGCTCCCTGACATCCCTGGGGATGGGACTGGGAGAGACAGAAGGATGAAACACCCTGACATTGCCCTGGATGGGTTCTGTACTAAGGGGGACCTGCCCAGACCCCCCAGCCAGGGGCATGTGGAGCCTGAGAGAAAACCAGGAGCAAAGGGGCCAAGATCACCAAGTTCATCTCCCAGCCAAATTCCCACTCTGCTCCCACCAGGCCCTGCATGTATAAACTATTTCCACACATCTGATCTTTTTAAAGGACTCGGATTTACAAACTTCAGGGATTTTGACCTTCAAATGCACAGAACTCCTCTGCACGCCAAAGCCATTTGCAGCTGATTGCAGAAGGAAAATAAATGGCAGAGAGGGCAAAAAAAGGATGGGCTGAGCAGGGGAATGGGAGCAAAGCCATTTTTCAGCCCAGTTTCCACTCAGGGTCAGTGACTCCTCCAAGCTCCCCTCAGCCACTCACTTTTTTTTCCATCAGAGCCCCAGTGAGTCCCTGTGTGGGGTTTCACCCAGTAGCTGCTGGAAATGGATGTGGGGAGGGTCAGAGCAGAGCCACCTGACCCCACAGCACCTCCTGTCCTGGATGGATGGATGGATGGATGGATGGATGGATGGATGGATGGACACCAAGGGCAGGAACCCAAGGTGTCCTCAGCCTCCCCTGCCCAGGCCTGGAGCACAGGATGGTGCATTCCAGGCCTTGTGTGGCTTGGCAGAGGCACGGGGACAAGGGGGAAAGGCTTGAAAATGAAACAGGTTAGATTTAGATTTAGATTTAGATTAGATTAGATTAGATTAGATTAGATTAGATTAGATTTCAGGAGGAAATTCTACCCTGTGAGGGTGGGCAGGCCCTGGCACAGGGTGCCCAGAGCAGCTGGGGCTGCTCCTGGATCCCTGGCAGTGCCCAAGGCCAGGCTGGACAGGGCTGGGAGCAGCCTGGGACAGTGGGAGGTGTCCCTGCCATGGCAGGGGGTGGTATGAGATGGCCTTTAAGGTTCCTTCCAACCCAAACCATTCCAGGATTCCATGATTAAATTAGGGAGAAAATTCAGGTTAGTTTTAAACAAGATCCTTTGCATCCAAGGGCTCCATGAATTCATGCCTGTGTCCCTCAGAAACCTCAATCCTTGAGCCCTGAGGCAGCTGAGATCCCCATGGAGCCCCCATCCCATCCTGGAGCTGCCCAC